ATTCCAGAGAAGAAAGTTTAGTCTACCCAAGGTGAAAACACAAAATCGTTACACATTTTCTACGGGCACAGAACAATCAATCTTTTTGTATGCTTGCCGGAACTTTTGAACTGATCTTTTCCACTCTTTCCTTCTTTCTCTAATTTTCTTTTTCTTTTTATTCTCATAGCTTTTGTCATCCTTCATGTACTACATCAGGGAATGTATATGCTATAGCAGAATATGGGAGCAAAATACTTTTTTTTTTCTTTTGGCCCAAAAGCAAAGGACCTTGAAGAACCAAAAGCATTACAGCAGACATAAATAACTTTGAAGAATTTATCATGAGGACTATTGAGCCTTTATTATTCCTAATTTCTGTCTTTTAATTTGAAAACAAATATTTTGTGGAGAATAGGCATAGATGGTAATATGGTCTAAATGGAAGTGATGAGTATATAAACAAAGGTGATTGTAGTGTAGAAAAGAGGTAGAGCACTGGAGAGCTGGCATAACACCATATAAAGTTTATAGGATTCAAGATGAGAGGGAAGTTTTATATCCAATTTAGGATAATGTTGTACAGATGAATTGAGATATCTGGGATGGGAAAAATCACTATATCATATATCTTGTTAGGTAAGTTGCTTAGATTAAAAGACATTTTCTATGCCCAGTCGAAAGAGAGTAGATATCTCCTATGCTTCTGAATAGCACAGAAACAGCAGAGAACATTTCTGAGCCTCAAGGAACATTTAGAGTACGGCCTGTGTGAATTTAGGACTGAGGGTCAGATGAGTTAAAGTCACCTTGTTGAAAGCTTGACTGGGTCTTTGGCTTGATAAACACATCTGACCTCCACTCCCAAGTAAAGTTAAAAAGAATTAAAAACTCAGACATAATCTGATGGAAAATGTGGAAATCACTTTCGATATAATACCAAATTTGTGTCATTCTGCTAGAAAAGTGACTTAAAATAGAAATTAGAACTTATAGCAATAAAATTATATTTATTAAAATTCAAATACATAAAATGTTCATATACTTAACAATTATCAAATCCTAAATTGTAATACTACTTACCATCTTAATGTTTTCAATAATTTATATATATAAATTATAAAAATGATTTTCATATATTGCTTATATATGTAAATTACATAAATGATTCATATATACATAGCTTATATATACATGGCATTAAAAATTGATACATTCCTATAATAATATAAATTATACATAACTGAATGGTGACTTTGGTCCTGTTCTTTCACTTTTTTGATATAATATAGTTGGTTGTGTTTATGAATGCTACCTGAAATAAGATCCCTCCCTTTTTTTTTTTTTTTTAAGAATTTCACTCTCGTGAAGCATAAAAAGAATATAAGAATATAAGACTTTAAATCCTTCCACATTCTGCTGGTCAAAGAATATGTACTATTGTATGTAATAATACCTAAGTCATTCTTCCACTCTGAACTCAATCCAATTCTATTATTTGATTTTGGAAATGGATTTTGAACATGGACCTGTTTGTCTAATCTGATTATTATTTTCCTATTCTTTTCTATTTAAATGCTGAGTGGCAGAGCTATATTTAGGAAGGCAATGATTTCATTACACCAATAGAGGGAACTGCCTTTCTAACAAAAGAGCAAAAGCCAAGTTGGCTAAGCAAGAATATTTCCCATCACACTGAAGAAGCCACAAGAGAAATGCCAACAAAATGTCACCTCAAACACAGTGACAACAGGATTACAGAAATCTAATTAGCCATTTCATTAACTGAATCCTGTCTGTGGAGATGGCAAACAATGGGGACTCAGAAACATCCATTCATTAGAAATATATGAAACTGTCAAGAAGATTATTCCATAATTTGTTCCTTGTTTTTTTTTTCAGGTGGTGCAGATGGAGTTAGGGTGGTGGAGTGACTTATTAAAAGGTCATATTTCAGAAGTTGTTAAAATTGAGGACACTTTCAGGGAGCTAAATTTACTATTGTAGATATATTGACGATTATAACTTTGAAATCTTCTTTCTTTTTTTCGTCCCACATAAGTTAGTTAGGTAAATTTATGGACATGATGTACTAAGAGTCATATCTTGACAAAAATCATTAATAAGATGCTATTTATCTCAATTGCATCTTTACATAGCACTTACATTGTCAATGGATTGATTAAATGTAAACTCTTTGAAGACAGGTGTCTCATTTTGCTTGTTTTTATAGCCATAGGTTTTAGTGTCTGAGAAACGTTTAAGGTAACAGATAAATGAGTGAAACAATTTTTTTTAAATAAACAAAACATTTTAACCTCAAGAAGAACAAAGTGGTGTGAATCCAAGGGAAGTGAAAAGAAATTGATGGCAGGATTATAATTTCTGACTGATTGAAAAATTCACCTGTTCATTAATGTAATTTCCTGGTAACATATTAAGAATTGTCACTGAATTTTGATGAAGATGTTATTGCATATTAAAAGCATTGCAATAGAGGGCAGTCTAGTTTCTGCAGGTTGTACCTTTTTATTTTGGACCTGGTCAGTGTGTCTTCAATGGCTACTGTACATTATCATTGCACACAGTGTATTATCAAGCCAGTTGCCACTTAACTTGTGGAATTTGTGGCTGCTATTTTGTGACTTGGTTTCTCTCACTAGAAGAACAGGATTTTCCACTGGGTTGATGGTGAAATCTTGACGTTAGCCCATCTGCCTGCAGGGTGTGGTTTTCCTTTCTTTCTTTTTTTTTTTTTTTGAGACGGAGTCTCGCTCTGCCGCCCAGGCTGGAGTGCAGTGGCCAGATCTCAGCTCACTGCAAGCTCCGCCTCCCAGGTTCACGCCATTCTCCTGCCTCAGCCTCCCGAGTAGCTGGGACTACAGGCGCCCGCCACGTCGCCCGGCTAGTTTTTTGTATTTTTTTAGTAGAGACGGGGTTTCACCGTGTTAGCCAGGATGGTCTCGATCTCCTGACCTCGTGATCCGCCCGTCTCGGCCTCCCAAAGTGCTGGGATTACAGGCTTGAGCCACCGCGCCCGGCCAGGGTGTGGTTTTCAATGCCTCGGTGAAGCATATAGTTGTATTATTTAAAATAAAGATGAACAGACGAAGGTGAAGGAGCATTCTTTGTCCACAAAAACGTGCAACCTTCACCCCCGCCAGCAAAAAACAGACTGTTATGTAAAAGTCTAAAAGACAGAGGCAAGAAAAGGCCTAGACAGATCTGAAAGATGTTAAGAATGGCCTTTCAGATAACCAAGAATATCAACTGAAAACACTTTTAAGCTATCTAGCTTCATTTATACAATTGAAGATATATTACTTCCAGCAAAGTAAAGAACAATTTGCTGACACTAAAGTTGTAGGGAGTTATTTGATTTTAGGCATGAAGTTTCACAGGATTACCAGGATGTTGAATACACTTTCATTCGAAGGTGGCTCCATTTACAAAGTATGGGAGCTGGTGCTGTGTATTGCCAAGACAACAATTACAACATGAGAAGTTCAGATGAGCAGAATGGCCATTTTGGTAATAGGCTTGATTAATTCGTTGATTGATTTAGGGGGTGGTAATTGTGTAGGCATCCTGAGGATAATGCAAAGGTTCTTTAAGAACAAAACTTTCAGCATGCCATCCTATATTGTATCGCAGAATATACCACCAGACATAATAAAAAGCCAAAATTCTAACTAATTAAGCAACACTTATATCTCTATGAACCAACACTTTCCAGAAGAAGAGGCTGTAACTCAACTCTATAAGCTTAAGACATTGAAAACTTTAAAAGTTTGCCCATAGAAAAATAAAATTCTGCAAGAACAACACAATGGCTATTCAGGACATTTAATTTTTTTCCACATATATTGAATTTGTTCAAAAACTAATTTTCTACCTAGAGCAGAAGCCACAGCAAACAAACAAACCTAATAATAGAATATTGGTTTAGAAGACTAAACAATGAGATTAATGAAGTAATGTATTGCATGGGAGAAAACAACACTAAAAATACTTTAAATAACAGAATTGGTTATTTTAAATTTAAAAGTAAAGAAAAAAAATTTTTTTTAAGTTTTCTTTAGGGTTTACATATTGTCAGAAGAAAATGTCATTTTTAAAGACTGAACTTGAGCTAGTATCTTTATAAAGGGATTGTCTATTAGTTACTTTATTGACTGGGATTAACAATGACCTTCTTCAGTTAAATACAGTTACTTGTTTGTTTGAACTGAGGTCTCAGATATTCTCCTGTAATGGATGTTGATCAGTATGAGATTATGAGCTTAAAAATAAAAACATACTTCTCACTGAAAATCAACCTAAGACAATATTTTTGTTCAATTCGAATTCCCATATGAGACTAAATCTTTTTAAACAAAACACTAGTCTTATGAAAAAAGCCTATTCTTATGTTAAAAAAATAATAGTCTCAATTTATTAATCTATAAAATGGGGCTAATAATATACACCTTTAAAAATGTTATACAAATGCTAGAGAAAACTAATAAGAATTTGGAAACAAAATTATATACTTTTCTCTGTCACTAATTTAAATCACAGAGGTCTTTTTAATCAAACTATCCAGCTAGCTGGAAAAATAAGAGCTCTCGTTTGTGAAAAGAAACTGACTGGCTGGGCCCGGTGGCTCAGGCCTGTAATCCTAGCACTTTGGGAGGCTGAGGTGGGTGTCATAGAAAGTATCATAGCAGGGAGACTTTCAGTTCCAAAATGGCAGCTGGCTTCCCTCCTACCAAGAGAAAACCTATATATATAAAATATATATAAATATATTTATTTTATATATATTATATATTATATATATTTTATATATATATTTAAAAAGCACTGGGATTGTCACCAGTAGTATTCTAGAACTCAAAGATGAGGGTAAGTAATTTCCCAGGGTCACAGAAAACTTAAAAACTCTGAGCAAACAGTAAGATAATTTAATTTCATGTATGCAACAACTATCCCCCCAATCTGCCTGGCACTAAGAGTGCAAAAAATTTCCCCCAACTTACCATTTCCACACTGGAAAAAGTGAGATCGAGGTGGACAATCAGCTTCTCCACCAACTTGGGTCCTTCGTCAGGAGACCTTTTCATGTCTCAATCCACGAGAAGTATTGTGAGTACCTGAAGGGAGACAAATCTTTGAGGACAGCCAGAGAGAAAGGGGAAAGATGGTAACATCATCCCCATCTCTGGAAACCCTGCTCTGTAACTTGGCCAAAGGAGATGACAAATCAGAATAGCATTTCTATTCATATTCACAGCAGCATGCTCTAGGAGGCACATTCTGTAAGTGTCCTGGGCTCAAATCCCTGGCTGGCCTTTTTATGCTCCCAGGATATCCCATTTGTGACCTCCCCTATTCCTGCCAGGAAGCACTTATGATCTGCTAGAGCTGAGGCAATCCTGAGCTTTAGGTAACATCTGGTGCCAAAAACTAGGCAATGACCTAGGAAAAAATTAAGAAATTTAACAGGTAAATTATAAAGAATCTCTAAGCAAACATAACCAACAAAAACCAAAACAAGCCAGATAGAGAATACTAGAATAAATAAATAAACCTTCAAAGCAAAGACGTTGATGTATAATACATGTAGAAGTAACAACAGCAAACAGGGAACTATGACCACCACAAACAGACAAAGCAGGGTACCAGTGACTGACCTCAATGAGATGGCAATATGTGAGATCTCTGACCAATAATTCCAAATAAAACTTTTAAGGAAAATCAGTGATCTCCAAGATAACAGAGAAAAACAATTCAGAAATTTATCACATAAATTTAACATAATGATTGAAGAAAACAAAAACCCAGAAATCTGAAAACTGAGGAATACATTTGCTATACTGAAAAATTCATTGGAGGTTTAAAAGAGCAGATGGGCCAAGCAGAGAAAAATGAAAAATCAGTGAGCTCAAAGATAAGCTATTTGAAATTATACAATCAGAAGGGAAAAAGGGAAAAAAAAAAAAAGGAAATGGAGATACCTAATAAAAATACTTCAAAAGATCAAATCTAAGGATTATTGATGTTAAGGAGGGCGTTGAGCAAGAGCAAGGAGTAGAGAGCTTATTGAAATAAATAATAACAGAATACTTTCCAAAACTCGAGAGTAACATGAATGTCTACGTATAAGAAGGTAAGAGAATGCCACACAGATTTGCTAAATAAGACAACCTGAAGGCATTTGGTAATCAAGCTCTTAAAGGTCAAAGGCAAAGAGAAGATCCTAAAACAGCAAGATTAAAAAAAAAATGCAAGTAACATATAAAGGAACTCCAATTCATCCGGCAACAGATTTCTCAATGGAAACCATACAGACCAGAAAGGAGTGGGACCAAATTTTCCAAATGCTGAAAAAAATAAAGAAAAAAAGAAACTGATATTCAAGAATACTTTACTCAACAAGTTAGTCTTTTATTATGAATGAGAGGTAAAGTCTTCCTGAAATAAACAAACCTAAGATAATTTATAATGACCAGACCTGTCTTACCAAAAATGCTAACGTGAGTTATTCAATCAGAAAAAAAAAGAAAAAAAAAAAAAACACTGATGTGCAGGAAAAAAAAATGAAGATATAAAACCCACTGGTAAAAGTAAATACAAAGACAACGCCAGAATATTCACATACTGTAACTATGGTGTACAATCCACTTAAAACTCTACCATGAAGCCCAAGCAAGTCTGTCAATAACGACAATAGCTATAGCACTCTGTTAACAGACAGGCAACATAAAATATGTAAATTTAGACAAACAAACATCAGAATGGGGGGACTAAAGATAAAGTATAGACATTGTTTGTTTATTTTTGTTTATTCTTCTTTCTGTGATCTAATAACAGTAATGTATTATTTCTGATTTTGTAAACCTTGTAGTAACCACAATGCAAAACCTGAAATAGATACACTAAAAATAAAAACCAACAAATTAAAGCATAGTACCAGGAAAAAAATCATCCTTAACCACCAAGGATGACAAAAGATAAAAAAAAAAGAAGAAGAAGAAGAATAGAGGGGAACACAAAACAACCAGAAAGCCAGCAACAAAATGACAGTAATAACTCCTTACTTAATAATAATACTGAATGTAAACAGGCTAAATTCTCTAATTAAAAGACACAGAGTGGTTGAATGGATGGCAGGGGTTGGGAGTATGGGGGAGGGATAGCATTAGGAAAAATACCTAATGTAAATGATGAGTTGATGGGTGCAGCAAACCCACATGTCACATGTATACCTATGTATCAAACCTGCACGTTGTGCACATGTACCCTAGAACTTAAAGTATAATAAAAAACATCCAAGTATATCCAACTATATGCTCCCTATAAAATCCCATCTTACCTGTAAAGATAAACATAGACTGAAAGTGAAGTGATGAAAAAATGTATTTCATGCAAATGAAAACAAAACAAAAAAAGAACAAAAGTAGCTACACATATATCAGATAAAATAGACTACTTGTCAGAGACTATAAAAAGAGACAAAGGTCATTATATAATGCTAAAGTGATTACATAGCAAAAGATGTAAGAATTATAAAAATCTATGCACTACACACTAGAGCACCCAAGCATATAAAACAAACATTAATAAATCTAAAGGGAGAGATAGACTGAAATAATAATAGTAAGAGACTTCATCACCTCAAACTCAGTAATGGACAGATCAGGTAGACAAAAAATCAAGAAAGAAACATTGAATTAAATTATACACTAGACCAAATAGGCCTAACTAACATCTACAGAATATTTAATCCAACTGGTACACAATACACATTCTTTTCATCAGCACATGAAACATTCTCCTGAATAGATCATATCTTAGGTCACGAGGCAAGCCTCAACAAATTCAAAGAGTAGAAAAATATATAAAATATTTTTCAGATGATGATGGAATAAAGCTAGAAATCAATTACTAAGCACAGGAAATCAAGAATTATATATATTCATATATATAGCTGTTAAAATGTAAGAATAAATTTGGATAAAATAAAATAAATTATCATCTACAACATCAACCAAAAAATGCTTTTTCATAAAGTTTTTTAAAAACTGGCATATTAACCTTCACTGTTAAATTTTAGGGTATTGGGGGTTTTTTGGGATAGAAAGCAGGAATAGTAATTGAGGGAAGACCAGAGGTGTCTGAGGCCCTCAAAATGTTTTATGCATTAACCTCTTTTGAGGTTTCACAAGTGTGCATGTTTGGATAATTTATGAATACTTATAGTTATGTTCTGTGTCCTTTTTATGTGTGTAAAAAATAAAATGTACTTAAAGTAAAAACTTTGGCATGAATGTATAATGTCATAAAATGTCAAGAAATACAAATAAGTAGTGATTAGTCTAAGTTGTCATTGTTACTCAGAGAATCATTGCAGGAATTCTTAAAAGCCAAATCGCCTGAATTCTAATAGATTGAAGTTTCTCTTAGTTTTGTGCTTAATAATTCACTCTAAGTTAAGAGCAAGAACATTGCTTAATATTTTTTAAAGTTATTCCACTTAATGCACAAAGCAGCTTTATAATGGATTCCCTCAGCAATTTATGCTAAACCAATCCCTAACTATTCTTTAGAAAGGAATTATTCAAATGTTTATCCGATGCATTTTCAAACAGTTTGTTAACTTTATTAGTGTCTTTGCTGAAGATTCAAAAATGTCTAAATATGTGGATTTTCTCTATTGAATATTTATCTTGTATATTTATTTATAGCACTTACCCCTCCAAATTCTCATTCATCTAGTACCTGACTGTAGAATGAGCTCCTACATGCCCAGAAATAAGCCTAATTTGACTGTGTCAATCCAGTATCCAATATTTGTGACACATACACGTATGCAAACCTTATATTTTGAAAGAATCAGTGTTGAATGGTATCTAATTGGTTTGGATTCAGGTTGATAATAATATTTCTAATAAACTCAAATGTATTTTTTGATACTAAAGATTTTAAAAGTCCATCTACTACTTAAAAGCCAAAGCAAAAATATCCCATGTGTCAAGAGTCACTTGGTAGTGCAGCTCATACCTAGCATAGAATGGAGCTATCATTTTCTTCTATACTAAAAATGCATTCTAGAAGTGCCATTTGAAGAAAAGCAAGAAAGCTAGCTTATATATAAGCTTAATGTTTAATTTCTATTTATGAAAAACAGTAAGTAACATGAATTATTAATTGTCCTTGTGGTAAATATTTTTAGAGTATATTATAAACTGAAAGCTGTAAAAACTTTAATAAAGGACTTTTACATAAATTGTGGGTATACATTATACATGAATAAATACATAAACACTATACATCATGGGAAATTTTCGTATAACACATTATGACAAGTACTCCTCATTTCAACATAGCAAAGCATGCATTAGTCTATCTCAGAAGATAATAAGTTTAAGACTCAGATGGGCCTTTTTTTTTTTTAATCAGGGGGAAGCCAGGGGCGAATGCTGACTTTATGCCTGACCCTTCACCACGGGCTTTTATACAATGTTTTGTCTAATTATACATTCATTCACTTCACATACATTCACAGATCTATGAGTCTTACCACTCCTCTAGTTTTACTAGTAAGAAAAATGATACTATAAGATTGATTTATAATCAGACCAAACAGGGTTCAAATTTCTATCTTCATTGCTATTACTAGATACTTAAGCTCTTATAAGTTTATTATTTTATAGATGTAATAATATATTTGATCAACACATTAGATTTTTGTGATAATTAAAGGAAATAATGAAAAAATTGGGGTAGCAGCGTACATGACACATAGTGTTTAATAAATGTTATTTTGCAAATAATAATAATAATTTGTAGTTTCCATTTGAACAAAACACCATTACTGAGGAATCTTTGAGATGTGGATTTTTGGAGTACTTTTTAAAATTCAATTTGTGTAAATAAAACCCAATTATTTTTCTATTTTCCTTAGCTAAATTACACATACTAATGCAGGCTTCCTTTTTAAAAATTTCTACACTGAAGACTAAGACATATTTTAAATTTATACTTTAAACTCTATTAAAAAGAATACAACAATGGTTAATGTAGTTTTAATTCATTTATCTGGTCAAGAATTACTTATAACTTTGAAAAAATTGACTGCACTAGCAAAAAT